CAGAAAAATGCTCTTTTTACCAGGGCATGGAGTGACGGGGGAAGGGCAATAAGGTGAGGAGGGCAGGTTCAGGAGCGAGCTTTCCCTGGGAGGACGGGGAGGGGCTGGGATGGAATTCCCAGAGCAGCTGGGGCTGCCCTGGATCCCTGGCAGTGCCCAAGGCCAGGCTGGAGCAGCAGTGGGAGGTGTCCCTGCCATGGCAGGGTGGCACTGGGTGGGCTCTGAGGTCCCTCCCAACCCGAAGCACCCCGGGGCTGCGCTCAGGGACATTGCGGGGCCTCCTCCCCGCACTCACCGGCCACGCTGCGCAGCCCGGGCGTGAAGAGCGCCTGGAACTGCGGCGCCTGCAGCCTCATGGTGCCGCTCCCGGCGCCGCTCCCGCCGTGCCGCCGCCGCAGCAGCCGCAGCCCGGCCCTGCGGGGCACGAGCCACAGCTCAGCCCACATCCGCGGGCACGGCCGCTCCGCCGCCCCGCGCTCACGCACCGCGGCCCAGCTCCGGCATCGGCGGCGCCGGGCGATGAGCTCAGAGCGGCGCCGGATCGGGGAGCGGCACCGCCGGCATCGGCACCGCCCCGGGGCCGGGCTCGGGGATCGGCACCGCCCCGGGGCCGGGCTCGCTGAGGCAGCACCACCGGGATCGGCACCGGGCCAGGCCCCGCTCCGCCCCCGCTCCCTCAGCGGGACCGCCCCGCCTGCGCTCAGCCGGGAGAGATTCCTAAAAACCCTCACGGAATCACAGAATGACCAGGGTGGAAGAGGCCGTCAAAATCATCGAGTCCAACCCAGCCCCAACACCTCAGCTAAACCCTGGCCCCCAGTGCCACATCCAGGCTTTGTTAAACACACCCAGGGATGGTGACTGCACCACCTCCCCGGGCAGCCATTCCAGAACTTTATCACCTTTTCTGTAAAAAACTTCTTCCTACTATCCAACCTGTATCTCCCTTGTTGCAGCTGGAGGCTGTGTGCTCTGGTTGTGTCAGTGCCTGCAGACAGAGCCCAGCCCCAGCTGAGCACAGGCACCTTTCAGGAGCTGTGCAGTGATGAGGGCACCCCTGAGTCTCCTTTTCTCCAAACGAGCACCCCCAGCTCCCTCTGGTTCCTCTCAGGGTTTGTGTTCCCAGCCCCTCTCCAGCCTCGCTGCCTCCTCTGGATGAGCTCCAGCCCCTCAATGTCCTTCCCAAACTGAGGGGACAGAAATGGACACAGCACTCAATAAAAGACCTAAAATATTTACTGTGGCTTTGTCTCAGTTTAGAGAAAAGGACTTACAATGGGAAAACGAGTTATAGCAGGGAGGAAAATACACAGTTTGGTAATGGCAAAATAACTGGGATGGAATTGATGAGTTTCTTCTCCTCCCAGTGAGAAGGAATTCGGTAGCATTTAAATGTTTGAATCATTGAAATGACAAAGTCATAATTTTGGAAAAGCCCTCTGAAATCATCAAGTCCAGCTGCTCCCCAGCACTGCCAGGCTCACCACCAAACCCTGTCCCCAAGAGCCACATCCATAGAGCTTTAAACCGCCCCAGGAATGGGGATTCCTCCTGACCCAAAACCGCATCCTGTTCTGTGGAGCAGATATCAGTGATATGAGCGATAATTTATTATTTACAGCTATTAATGTGCACTTGATAATGGCTAAATGCAGTGGAGATCTTGTCCACATTGAATTACACCCACTTTCACCAATTTGGCAGGAGCTTTAATTGTGTCCTGAGCCCCAAAGCACTCGCCCCTCCAAGCTTGTGTCACCTGCACATTAATAACTTGGATGACAGGTTGTTAATGAGGGTGAGTCATTAGCCTTCTCCTCATCCTTCCTATAACTCCATCACATACAGCCCCACTTTCTGCAGGGTCTTCCCTGGGTTGGATTCTCTTCCCTGTCCTGTTTGTGAGCCTGCAGTACCATCACAGAGTCATGGAATGGGCTGGGCTGGAAGGAACTTTAAAGATCACCTCGTTCCAACCACCTGCCATGGGCAAGGACACCTTCCATGAGCCCCATCCAACCCTGAACACTTCCAGGGATGGGGCATCCACAGCTTCTCTGGGCAATGCAGAAGTTATCCAACCCTGTGGATCTCAGCTCCAAGCTCTCAGCACAATATTAGGTTTTGCTCTGGTACCGGTAACTTCCCAAAATGCTGCGTGGCTGGATGGCCAGAGCTTTGGACAAGATTGCATAAAAAAACCTGGATAAAACATGCACAGTTCTCCAGCAATGTGTGGGTTTGATTTGCTAGGGGAAGAACACATTGGGATATCAGCAGTGTGGCTGTGGGTTATTTCTTTGCAGTCAGTCATCACATTCCTGCTCTTGAAAAGTCATCAGAGAACTCTCAGACCATTGTATATAATTAACACTCAATAAATAAAATAACCCCATTTCTGGGCTGGACCATGCCTGTATGGAGCCTTCCACCCCGTGGAAGAGAGGCACAAAATGTGAATATAGATAATGAGGGGGCTTGGACATTAAAAACACACTCTACTGTAGATGATGTGTCATTTTAATGAACACAGTTCCCTTTTTCAAGGCGTGCTTATCTAATTTGTCCTCTGCCATCTCTTCTGAGGTACCAGCCCTGCTGGCACTTGGGAGGCAGCAGTTATAAAAGAAACCCACAGGGAGAGCACCCAGGGGATGGGGAACAGACAGACCCAGCTCTTGCCAGGACTCTGAGATGCCCAGGTAACCTCCCGGGGTGTCGGGCGTGCTCTGGGTCTGCCTTGTGCCTGCTTTTGAACTGCAAAGCGCCTGCTTTTTAAAGTCAGTTTGCACTGGGAAAAGCACCTGGAATCTGCTGCTTCTCTGTTGCTTGTGAGGTACTGGGACACTTCAGCTGTTAAGGGAGACAATCATTACTTATAGGAGGCTGGTTTTTGTGCTTTGGATTTCTACTGTCCTTCTAAAAGGAATATATTCCTTGCACAAAGGGATATCCCCTTTACCCTCTGCTTATTACTTATACAACCAAAACTTTGTCCTGCAAACTTACCATATCCATTTTTGTGAGGAGCACAATCCTCCTGTAGCCTTCTAGTTACCATCTTTACTCGCATACACTTATTTTGATTCTCTTTTCAGCAATTTCTCCCTTGAAGCAGGGTATCACAGACTGCGGTTTGTTCTCAGGGGCTGTGGTCTTACACAGCTGCAGAAATTCAGCTTCCAAAAGTTGGGCTGTCAATCTTAGTCTGGCTGCAAGAAAAAGACAAATAGCATTTTGGAAAACAAAGCAAGTAAAAATAAACTGAAAAGAACAGGATAATAATTTAGGATTCATCTGAAGTAATATTTTATATCCAGTTTCAGTTCAATAACGTGCTGCACAGAAAATATAAGATGTAATACATGCAAATACTTTTAGGCCTAAAAAATAATCTTTAGGATCTTTTTGAAAGTATAGGGAAAAGAAAATCAGAACCCTTAGCTTTTTGTGGACAAATTAAAAAAAAATAATCCACAGGTAGCCAAACCCATTTTAAGTAAACCCAAGGGAGAGTCATCTGTTGTAGTTATGATAATGCCTGAAACCAACACAGAGGTTATTCAAGTAGATGTGAATGCTAAGCACTTGCAAAACATGAGGCTTTTAAAAGATTTTTTAAAAATAAGGTACTGAAATTATTGCTGTTTTTTAGGAAAAAAATGAGTGAATGCTCTCAACAATGAAACTAATGAAGCTTCTTTCCCAAAGTTGTTTTTTTTTATTTTCAGGGATGTGAGGAAAATGAATTTTTACTTCTAAATGGAGAAAAAAGTTATTATTTACTGGTCTCATCAGCTAAATGAAAGGATGCAGCAAAGAAAGCCTGATGCCAGTAATTTGTGCAGGCATAAATGTGCTGTAAAGAATATTTGTCCCATTGTCTGTGACTTGCTACATTTTGGGAGAACCAAAATGCCTGGCCAGGATGTCATTCCATAACCCAATGTACACAAAATCAAACCCTGGCGCCCCAGGAATAACCCATTAGCAAACTCCTGAGTTTCAGCTGGCCATGTGCACATTTGGGCTGTCAGGAAAGCAGAGAGGCACAAAATGTGAACATAGATAATGAGGGGACTTGGACATTAAAAACACACTCTACTGTAGATGATGTGTCATTTTAATGAACTCAGCACTCAGACTGCACTTTGAAAAATAGTTACTGTACAGCAGAATTATTCCAACTGTGATCAGTGGGAGTGCTTCCAGTCCCTGGGTTATTCCTGCTCATTACCATTGGAAAATATTATGTTTTCCATGTGAGCAATTGCTGTAGTGCCCCAGGGAGGTGCTGAGATTGGGCTGGGGGGCTGCATTTCTCTTCAGTAGGAACATTTTGGAAAGCTGCTGTTCTGAATGCCCATTTTTATATTAGGTTATACATGAATGATTACACAGAGATTTATTTTTTTTTCTCCCAGTAATTCATGGAACAATCCATTGGAAAATGCTGGGTTTAAGCATTAAAAATTGTTGTTCATTGAAATCAGAAATGAACAAAGCAGTTTCTCTTACACCCAATAATTAACAGTGGAGAATTAGCCGTGAGGTGATGAGCAGTGACTGTGTCTTTAGAAAGCTTTAGTGGAGGAGTAACTAGACAGTAAATGCCAATAAGCAGCTATTTTATATAGAGCGGGAGCTAAAATATGGTTATTCCTGTTCTTGGAGGAAATGGGACTCTCCCCAAAGCCAGTCTACACAAACCTGACTTACCTTCCATGGAGAAATGCTCTAATTCCACGGATGCCCTGAACATCCCCTCATGAAGGTTTGAAAGCAGCAGCTTTTCAGAGAGGGCTGGCAAAGGGAGCAAGGTGAAATGTGTACCTGTATTAAATTTAGGTCTCACAAGAAGCATTTTCCTGCAAGAAAAGAAGAGTCTATCCCTGCAAGGCAGCAGTTTCAGTGCTTTGATGATGGGGATAGATCGTGATCCATGGGTTGGGTGTTTAACCCTTGGCTTGTGCTCATTTTTAGCTCCTGTGAAATGGTGCCAAGGCTGGTGTGCTGATGCCTGGCTGTGCCCATCCACCACCCAAAGATGATGGCCAGTGGGATGCCAGTTTTCCTGCTCCTCCTCTGGACAACAAACACACCTCAAGGTGCAGGAGGTGAGGAGCTTCCTCAGGGCAGTGCCCTGGTGGGTGCCCAAGGTCCCTCTTTGTGCTGGGCACTGTTCCACACGTGGATGAAGCAGTGTGCCATGGGCCCATTGCTGTCCTGCCTCCTGGGACTGTGCCCTGTCCCACACTGTTCCCAGCTGGGGCCTGGTTTGCTGTGGGAGGAAAGAATCTCCAGTCATGGGGAAACAATTGTGTTGGGACTTTCTGAGCCTTTTTAGGGCAGTTTTCCTACTGCAGTGTGAACTCCTGGGCATCAAAGGCTGGAATCACAGGAGACCAGAAGTGGGAGCTGATCATGGAACCCCAGAATGGTTTGGGTTGGAAGGGACATTAAAGCCCATCCAGTTCCACCCCCTGCCATGGGCAGGGACACCTTCCACTGTCCCAGGTTGCTCAGAGTCACATCCAACCTGGCCTTGGGCACTGCCAGGGCTGATGGCCCTCAACTGCCTGGGGTTTGGCAAATAAGGGAGAGCAGGCTCTGAAGAGCTGGAGGGGAGCAGATTGATTATTTCACTGCCCTGCTATTTATTTGCTAACATTTCCCCCAGCATGAGATCCTCCTCATTTCCAAGAGAGCTCCAGGAATCCCTCTTGCCCTGTCATTTTAAATTATCCTTCCCATCCTTCTGTGTTTTCTTCCATTTGTGCTTAATTCCTCTGTTCATCATTTTGGCGCTACTCTCACATGCAGCTTCTTGTGGCTGTTTTGAAATCTTTGAAAGCCCCCCATGCTGCCCTCTCCAGCAAGCTGATGTGGGTGAGAATTGTTCATGCAGTTGATCACTCCATCAGCCCCGTTTCTTGTCTCTGTGACAATGACGACCAAGATGAAAACTCTGAACATAATTAACAAGCCAAATGTAATATATCACAGTATACAACTGTGATATATTACAACTAGTAGAAACTGTTGTAAAAATTTCATTTTTCAAGCTAAGTTTTAATAAACTCTTATTTGATGGGTTTTGGTTATTTAAAGGGTTTTGGTTATTTAAAGGGTTTTTTTTTTTTGGTCAAATATTAGATATATTTTACAAGGAGCTATTGAGAGAATATAATATTGAGATGAAATTATTTGCTTGTATTGCTCACTGCTTGCAAAGAGGTATTGCTCTAAACAATTCACTGTATTGGACACTGATGGATATTTCTGTTTTCTCTTTTCCAGTTCAGGTTTTGCCACCTGTTAATTTCACCCTCACAGTCTCTGCATTAGCACAAGTGCTGTTACACTGGGAGCCAAACCCTGCTCAGGAACAAAACAACTCCACCATCAGATACGATGTGAAAATCCTGAGCCCTGAGCCAGAAGAGGTAAGAGAAAAAATAAATCAAGGATCCTAAGAAGGCTAAATCCCTGCTGTTCTCTTTTATTTTAACCCATGCTTTGGGAACTGCAGAGATTCCCTCTCAGCCATCCTTGTGGACACAGCTCTGCTGGGACGAGCCTTGGGAATTGCAGTTTTCGTCTCGAGGGGAGGATGAATCCTGACTTTAAACACTGGCTCCCCATTCAACTCACTGAACTTACCCCAGTGTGAGGCTCAGTCTTTGCAGGTCCCTTATTTTGCCTCCCATTCCCTGTGGTTATTTGATATTTTCTGTTTCAAGTACGACACCTTTCAGCCATCCTTGTGGACACAGCTCTGCTGGGACGAGCCTTGGGAATTGCAGTTTTCGTCTCGAGGGGAGGATGGATCCTGGCTTTAAATACTGGCTCCTCATTCAACTCACCCCAATGTGTGGCTCAGTCTTTGCAGGTCCCTTATTTTGCCTCCCATCCCCTGTGGTTATTTGGTATTTTCTGTTTCAAGTATGACACCAGGAGGACTCAGAGTGTGCGAACAGCGGCGCTTCACAACGGCTTCTCCGCCCGCGTGCGCACCTTGCTCCTCCAGGAGGACCTCCAGATGAGCAGTGACTGGGTGGAGGGAAACCTCCCACCTCTGCCAGGTAAGAAAACCCAGGGAAGGCCTGGGGTTTGTGTTCTGCCCCAATCTGTGAGTTAAACATTAAAAGGTGACAGGTTTAGTTCTTTAAAATAAAAATACAGCGTTTTCCGCTCTACCTGCTACAAAAGGATTTAGTCCAGACCTTTCCCTACTGCACTGGAGCCTGGAGTACAATCTGGAGGTGCAAAATGTCAACAACACCTATAAAATTTTCTAACAATGCCTTGCTAATGCTGAGTTAACCCAGCATGGTGCACCTAGGATATTGTTCCACATGAAATGCACGGTTCTGTATGGCACAGCTTTACTCACTGCTTGGGAATCTGCATCCTTCCCAAGCCACAGAGCTGTGTGATGTGGATGCAACAGACATAGCTACAATGGCCCAAACTGGAATAAAAAGGGCAGAAAATTAGATGCAACAGACACAGCTATAGTGGCCCAAACTGGAACAAAAAAGGAGGAGAATTGGATACAACAGACACAGCTACAATGGCCCAAACTGGAATCAAAGTCCTTTAGCAACAGGAACTTGTCATGATTTTTGCAGTGAGGTTTTCTTTCTGCTCTGTAATCCCTTGCCTCTCCAGGTGCTGCAGAGACCTCTGTCACCAACCTGTCCTGTGTCACCCACGTCACCATCTCTGGCAATGTCTCCCTCCATTGCACTTGGCTCCCTGGCCAAGGGGCTCCAGAAGACACCAAATACTTCCTCTTTTACAGGTTGGTGTTTGCTGCTTCTCCAGGCAGCAGTGAATTTCTTTAGGAGCATTTGTCTCACCAGCATTTTAATTTAGGTATGAGACACACACAGAGGAATGTCCCACTTACACCAAGGACAAGTGGAGCAGGAATACCGAGTGCAGATTTTCAAGTACTCAGATTAAACCTGGTGAGATTGACAACCTCATTGTCATTCACATCAATGGCTCCAGCAAACGTGCTGCAATCAAGCCTTTTCAGCAGTTATTTAACCAAAATGCCATTGGTGAGTAGGAATACATTAAAAAAAGTATCAAAAATGACTGGCAGGATTGTCAAAATGTGAGGAAGTTCTTTTGGATTGAGTGGTTCTTGATGCAGGTGAAAGGATGTGTTGATTTTGTATAGTCATCTTAAGGGAATTGGAAGAAATGACTGGATTGTTTTAGCTAAATTTGATTTTAATCATCTATTGGAAATTATAGAATGGCAAAACTAAAAGCTAGTAAAGGCAATTAGTTATTCTGTTTGTTAGCCAAAGCATTATTTCCAATATTAATTTTCAGTTGATTTAGCCAATATACTTTAAAACACTGTTTTTATTATCCATAATTTTGCAGCCTTCATTTAAAAGGAGTAAGACACATGATGTTCAAGTTAACCCTGTCCTGTAAAGGAAGGCATTAGTCTGGAATAAAAGGGAATATCAGCCATGATAATAAAAAGGGAATATCCTATCATCTTTCATCTACACCAGTGATTTACTGTCCCGCATTAGTTCCATGTTTTTCTTTTTTTAAACAAATAATAGTTCTCTTTTTCATGACTTCACTAAGAGAAAAATATCACAAATTTTCTTCTTAGAAATCATCCCCATAACAGCAGGTGAATTCCTCTGAATTTCTTCAATTTTTGAATAACTTTCCTGGCTACATCTGCATTTTTTTTTTCTGGAAATGAAATTTTTTTAACTATTGTATCATTAATTTAATACTTCTATGGAAATTAATTTAATAAATTTCTCTTTCTCCAGTAACCTAATTTTCCAAAACTTTTAAGTGGATTTTCCAAACTGTTTTCCTATAACTATTACCAGCAATGTAGTTATTCCTCCTAAATCCTTATCTTTTCAGTCCAAAAAGGGAAATAAATTCAATAATTATAGGTCCTACTTTGAAACACTATCAGGTTATGAAATGCTCCAGGTTTTTAGTATTTAAACTTGTCTCTATAAATAACTCACCTGTATGGTTCTCTTTTTGCAGAGAAAGTGAATATTCCCAGAAATATCAGCATATCCCTGGAGCAAAACGACCTCCTGGCCATGTGGGAGAAGCCAATTTCTCCTTTCCACGAGGAATGTTTTGAATATGAATTTTATCTCATCAACCTGAAGTCAGGCAACAAGCAGGTAATTGCTCCTCCAGCATCTAAGATCATCCAACATTCCTGTCCTCTCCAGCTGGAATTTGCCTTCCTCTTTTCCTCAATGCCTTTTCAATTTGCAACAAACCATCCCCAAGGAACTTGGGAAAGCAGGACAAAATTGGATTTATTCAGCTTATGCATCTGGGCTCAGAACAGTTTTTACCGTCTTGAAAATGCTGCACTGAGAATCTGCAGGAAGAATGGAGAAATTAGGCATTTCCCAGGAATTTTCCCTGGAATATTGGTGTGTTAGGACCTATAAAAATGGGGCTCTTACCTCCAAAGCAAGGCCAGCAGCTCACAGTTAACAAAAACAATAAAAAGATAAACATGGTGCAAATTTGGTTTTTTTTGAATGCTTGAGTGTTAATTAATCTCTGAGAGCACAAATTGTGTTCCTGACAGATCCTGAAGATCTCCTCCAACAGTTTCCAGCTGCGGGTGGATGCCAGCAGCAGATATTCCATCAGGATCAGGGCCAAGCACAACCACCTCTGCCGTGCCCCAGGGGCCTGGAGTGACTGGAGTGAAATCATCTATGTTGGTGAGAATTCCCATTGCTCCACTGCTGGGAGCCAGTGCTGCCTGTGCAACACCCCAGAATTCTAACAGGAAACAGCAAAACAGGGATTTGAAGGAAAAACCTGCCTTGTTAATGCCAAAGGGATTTAAATCCGTTCCATTAAAAATAAACTACTTGCAAGAGGATTGGTTTTAGGCAATGCTTTGTAATATTTCCAGGGATTGCTTCAAACTCAAGGCCTTTTCTTGCCTCACTGCAGTTTTTTCAGGTGTTTCTCTGCCCTCATTGTGATGTTCATGCTGGAAATAAATATGAGAGGCCATTGGTTCACTGAAATTATCTCACCCCTTCAATGCTGAGGGAAAAAAGAGCATGACTTTAGCATCTTTTAGCATCCCCAATGCTGGGGAACAAATCCTGCCTAATCAGGAGCGTGCCCAACATCACAAAATTCTAATAGGAAACAGGAAAACAGGGATTTGAATTAGATTTACTGAAACTATCTCAGCCCTTAAATGCTGGGAGAAAAAAAGAACATGATTTTAGCATCTTTGGAGCATTTGCCCCAGGCTGTTTTGTATTTCCTGCTTGCTGACCAAGTTGTTGTGGAAATAACAGTTCCTTTATCACTGCACGTTATCAACTGTTTGTTCTTAGACATCCTCCTTTGCTCTTATCTCTGGAGTTTCTCAACTTCCTTGTTTTCACTTAAAAAATACTCAGTTACACTCTCCTGTTTACTACATTTCCCCTCTTGTACCATGAATTCACATTTTCAGTGTTTTGCCTCATTTCTCCAACACATCCCCTTGACCTCCTCTCTTGGCTCACACAGCAAACTTGGAAAATCCACTCTGATGGCAAAACAAAATTGGTCTTCCCTAAAAATTTACTTAAATCTCAACAATATCCAAGGGCAGGACCACTTAATGCAGTTTTTCCTCATGGAAAGGAGTTTTTAGGGGCTTGTTGCAGTTCATTGGCACAATACAGGTTCCTGCTACTTTCTCAGCTACTTATTCTCTCTTTATATCAAAATAAAAGACAATTATTGTTGAAATCAAAAATTCAGTACCATGGAAGCTCTACAATCAATTTCTTATTCTAGGTATCAAGTCTTCAAAATCTGCATGTTAATTTGTGACCTGAATACAACCACATTAAACAGCTAATGAAATATTTACAATATTTACATGCTAAACATATTTCAAATAATCTGTACTAAAATAATGCATTTAATTTCTTTTTTTTTTTCCCCTTGAAATTCAGGGCAAAACAAACTGGAGAATTCCACAGCCTGGATTCTCACTCTGCTCTGTGTGACCACGTCCTGCACATTGCTGCTTGTGGCTATAATATGCCAAATGTAAGTATTAGCATTTTTTTTTATTACAATATAACCAAGGATCAGGCATTCAACAAGTGTGGGGGGACGTCACAAGCTTTGCTTAATTCTGAGGAAAAGCTGAGTTTGCATAAATACACAAAGCAAAAATAATCAGCCTCATTAATTATCAGCAGTAACATTCAGCAGAATTGGTGGGGTAAGAGAGTTATTCAATTTAATCTTATACAACAAACCCATATATTGAGTGAGGTGAATTTGTTAAAGTTTGTTTGCCCTTACCTCATTTTTTCATTAAATGCACCTGATTGTGTCAGTGATTTCCCCAGGAACCTTCATTTATGCCTGGCCAAAGCTGCTCAGTGCATCCCTCATGGCCAAAATATCCAGACCTCTGGTGTTTGCTTTGAGTATTTGGAATATTGAATTTATTTTTAATTATACTCTGGCTCTGGATGCTATATAGCAAAGGCCAAAACTCCCCAAATGCACAGTGAGGAAGCACAGCTACACTTTGGATTTGTGTCTGTGACAGTCAAACCATAAGTGATGAATTAAAGGCTCCATGTAATTAGAAATTTCTCCCTGAAACACGCAGCAAGCAGCAATTACCAGTCCACAATGAACACATCTCCCCTTAATGGAAGTGCTAATTCCTTATTAATTTCTTTAATGCCTTTTTATTTATTGCTCATCCTGATGCATCCTTGGCTGTTTTCCTCTCCGTGCTGTGTTTCCTTTATCCAATAAAGGTGTTGTGTACAGGATGCTCCAAGAGGGTGACTGAGATTAACTCTGCCTGTGGGAGCTGAATGAGCAGGGCTCTGCAGAAACAGCACAGGGAATTTATTCCTGTGTCACACGCTTGTCCCCAGCTATGCAGCCTTGATGTCTCACTGAAAATCCCCAAATCTGTCTTACTTACATGATTCTGTTATGGATTGAGCTGGAGCTGGAGGTCCTCCCCTGCTCCAGCATCGTCTCCAGCTCTCTCCTCTCTCTTTGGGACAGCAGAACCAACACCAGTTAGCAGCAGTCACACCTCTCCATGTTTTCTGTGGAGTTCTGACAGCACTTGAATATTACATTTACCCCCTTTGGAGATCCTGGAACACACACAGGGAGAGAAATAAATCCAGGGTACAATTCTACTCAACCTGGAGATGCTGTACTAATGCATTGTATGATTTTAATCCAATTTCAGGGAGCTTGTCCAGGTTCAGCTGCTTGCTGCTACCTTGGTTGCTCCCAGGAGTTTCTCTCCAGTATAAAATTCCCCGACACCCAAAGACTCATTACTTTCTCTCTTTGCCAACATGATGAAAATTTTACCTCCCTGCTAGTCTGAATTTCATGGAGCTGCTCACCTTATTCCACCCTTCCCTGCTGCTCCTTGCTCCTTCTCCAATCCCCAGCCTGCCCTGGGAGGATGGGGAAGTGTAAGAAGATGAAACACAGGGTTGTACCTGCAGATATTAAAAAAAGAAAAATCGAGCAGGTTTCCTAGATCACAGTTTCATTAATACTCTCTGTTTTTACTGCTCTTGAAAATTCATGAAGTGCACTCTGCGATTCAAGAATCGTTTCAAATTTCGTGCAATTTGCAGCCATTATAAGGAATTTCATTACAGCAAAGAGCTCCATAAATTTTTCTGTGTACTTGCAGGCATCGGGGTTAAAGCCCCACCATTTGGGAGGAGTGCTGCAAGGCAAAGGGGCCCTCTGGGACAGTTTGGGCAGGCTTTTCCCTTCACTCACTTGCAGAGGCTGATGGGGTTAGAGTCTTGATAAAAACCACAACTGAATGTTCTCCTGGTTTGCTCTCTGCTCTAGGAGAGAGCAGCTGCTGTCCTTCCCTAGGAATAACATCTTCTCCTGGAGGTGAGCCCACAGGAGGATGGTGTCAGTGACTTGCTCTGGCATGAGGGCACTCAGTGCCCTCCACGCCCCAAAATCAGTGTGGTCATGCAGGTACCCCCCTCTTCTGCACCCCATGAGCAGCAGTCACCAGCCAGCTTCGGAAAAACTCCAGGGGGAATCTCAGGGGAGGCACTCTGACACAGAGCTAAAACAAATACTTCCTCAGTCTCATCACAGAGCAAGGAGAGCTTGTTCTCCTGCTTGTTTCTCTTTGTTTACCTCCAGCCTTTTCATGTCACAGCCTGTGGGAAGAGTCGGAATTTCAGAAAGGCAGACACAGCACAAAACCCAGACCCCAAAATGCTGATTTAAGGCACAAGGGTCCCATGGGGTGTGTCCAAGGCCTGAAGGTCCAAGCAGTGACAATGGAAAAAGGCTGTGCCTTAAGCTGTGTAGACAGAGACACCTGGGATGCTTTTTGTGACAAGATCTTTAACCACATAACTCTGACTTTTCAGTAACCTCCAAAAAAGAACAGCACCATTCTGAGGGCACCACCCCAGCAACTCCTCCCTGCAAAGACCTGAGGGGCAAAGCAGCCCCCATGGACACACTTCTGCCTCATTTCTCGTGGGCATTTGTGCACCTTTCTTAAGTGCTCCCCTTCCAGAAGTGACGTGTAATTTATGCTTTTTGCTGCCTCAATAAATAATTTTGACATGGCTCCATCAAAATCTTTTCTTGGCAAACAGCATGACACCAATCCCAAGTGGAACCAACTCTTGTTGGGTACTTTGCCCAGCAGTGGCATTAATCAGATCTGAAATGAGCTGCAGGTGGAATGCTGTGGCCTTTTGAGAAGTTTGTGAGAGCTGGTGAGGTGTAGGAGCTGTGAAGTGCAAAGCTGCCCTGGGTAAGGGCACAAAGGAGCAGAGCTGGGAGGAGTGGAGGTGATGGAGGTGATGCCAGGTGCTGCAGTAACAACATTGGCACTCATCCTGCCCCACTCCTGAGCTCCAGCAGCAGCCACTTTCCTGTCCCACCCCAGTGGTGGGGAGCACACAGCCTGGCTGCTCCTTTGCACCCAGCAGTGGCTCTGCTGTGTCCAGCATTTCAACAAAAAAACTCAAACACGTTTCCCCCAAAACACCTCATACCCTGCTTTTATTCCCATTTTTGGCTGTATAAGTCCCTCCCCCAAAGCCTCATCCCCTGCAGCAGAGGGAGACATCCCACAGCTCGTATCTGTGGGGTGAGCAGTGCTGTGCCCTTCCCTTCCCCTGATAATTAATGAAGCATCAATGTCACCTTCAAGGCAGCAGCAGCAGCTCAGCCAGGAAGGTTTAGCTCCAAGCTGATAGACAGAAAATATTATTCCTCCTCACCAGGAGAATAGTAATAGGATAAAGGTAAACTTGACAGAACTCAGAAAGCTTCTGGAAGAAGAATAGTCCTAAGAACATAAGCACTGAACTAAGCAGACATCAGCCAGGGGGATTGTCACAAAATAAAGGGGGCAGAGGAGCAGATCTGCCCTTGGTGCCTGAACACATTTCTTTTTCCTCCAGAACAGACCCTGGATACCAATTCTGGGCTGAATCCTCTTCACTCAGGCCAAGTTCCCATTGAAACCTGCCCCTTTTGGACATGGTGCTATCCAGGGCTGGAGACAGCGAGGGTGTTTCAGCACCTGGAATGTGAGACCTGAGCTCTGGCATGTACAAACACAAGGAAAAGCTCCCTCTGCTGTCCCAAAAATCCCTGTGCTGCCAGCCCAGGGAGTGGCAGGCAGGGAGGGGGTCTCAGGGGTGTGAACAGGATGAGTTATCACAGCACTGAGCAGAACCATTTGCTCTCAGCTGTCCCTGGTGCCCTCCCCTGCCTGCTCCCAGCTCCCTGGGCACACAATTATTTGTGGTTGCTCTCCTGCCACGAGGCACTGGCAGTTCATGTCCAGAAACCAAAGCCTGAGCACGAGGCAGCTCGTCCTGGCTGTCCAAAGGAGGCACCTGACAGCAGAGCCCTTGGGAGGAGCAGCAGTGTGAACAGAGATCAGAGCAGCTCATTTCTGCCCAGGCAGCCCCAAAAACCCTGGCATGGATGGGGACATCCACACCCTCCTCCTCCTGTCACCTGCCTGTCCCCAGGGCCCAGAGGTGTCCCGTGAGCCCCAGTGGGTACCATTATCTGTTCCAACCCTAACATTTCTGCCCAGGCAGCCCCAAAAACCCTGGCATGGATGGGGACATCCACACCCTCCTCCTCCTGTCACCTGCCTGTCCCCAGGGCCCAGGGGTGTCCCGTGAGGAGTGGCACAGCTGCCCAGCCCCAGTGGGGACCATTATCTGTTCCAACCCTAACTGCGAAGAATTTTAAACTTTCTGTGCTAACAAACACTAACCCCTAAAACCCCACTTTGTTTAATCTAAAAGCATAGGAAAAAACTTCCAAAATTAAATAATAAAACTAGAACTATAAGTATATAATTTAAATTATGAAGTGTTATGTATATTATATATATATATAATTATATATATATATATAATTATAATATCACATTAAAAAACCCTTAAAGTTTAACTTAGCAGTTAAGGTTCCAACACCTATCTCTGCTGCAGGCAGAGCTGGCTGCTCTTGGGCTCAGCACGTGCTGCTGCTTGGGCCCCTAATCCCCCAGGAGCAGCAATTCTCTCATCCCTCCACTGCTGTTTCTTACAGAAACCACGTTTGGAGTAAACTGTTCCCACCAATCCCAACGCCCAGCAACAAATTCCGAGACCCTTTCCCAGTTGACTATGAGGTAAAATAACTTTTTTTTCTTTTTTAAAAATTTTATTTTAACTAAAATGAATGCTTTTGTTTGTGTGCTGCTTTTTCCCTGTAAGGCTAAGAGCAAAGAGGGTCATAGAATCATTAAACCTCAGAAAGATCTCCAAGACTATTAAGTCCAACCCCATGGCCACTAAACCCATTGAATTTAGCAATTCCTGAGGCTGTTTTTGCCATCCTCCCTGCTGTGGTAAATTCTCACCTTGCTGTGTGGCCGCTTCCTTTGCCCACGACAGGTCCCAGCCTGCTGCAGCTCTGCATCTGGCTTTGCTTGCAGATGGTGTGGTTTGGGAAGGGTTAAAAATGAACAGAAGGGTTAAGTGGTATTGTCCAGGTTTTCCCTTTTTCCAACTCCATTCCAGACTCCAGGAGAAATCCAGCCCAGGTTTTCTCTTTTACCGACTCCATTCCAGACTCTTGCAGAAATCCGCTCCAGATTCCCTTTTTGCCGTCTCCATTCTGGACTCTGCCTGAAATCCGGTCCGGGTTTTCCCCTTTGCCAACTCCATTCTGCACTCCAGCTGGAATCCAGTCCAGATTTTCCCTTTTGCCAGCTCCATTCCAGACTCCAGCTGGAATCCGCTCCGGGTTCCCCTTTGCCAGCTCCACTCCAGACTCCAGCTGGAATCCACTCCAGGTTTCCCTTTGCCAGCTCCATTTCGCACTCTAGCTGGAATCCGCTCCAGGCTCCCTTTTGCCAGCTCCATTCCACACTCCATTCCGGTTCTTTTTTCCCTACACTGAATTTCAGGCTCACCTGTGGCTCTGCCCTCTGCAGGAATTGTGGTTTCTCCCCAGCCGGACCAAGACTGCAGGGTGGCTCCCGCCGCTCCAGGCTCCCTTTTGCCAGCTCCATTCCACACTCCATTCCGGTTCTTTTTTCCCTACACTGAATTTCAGGCTCACCTGTGGCTCTGCCCTCTGCAGGAATTGCGGTTTCTCCCCAGCCGGACCGAGACTGCAGGGTGGTTCCCAGAGAGCTGCTTTTGTTCAGCCTGACAATTCAGTGTTTTGCTCCTGCTGTTAAGCTGGACTTAAGCTGGACTTAAGCTTTTCTGGGTTTGCTGTTATTTCTGATAAATACATTTATCTTACAGATGAGATAAACCCCTCATTGTCTGCTCAGGGGAAGGGCTGCTCAGCACCTTGATTTTCATTTGTCCCCTTGGAACAGGGATTTGCTTTTTTGCATATTGTTCTTACTCCATGGTCTGGTCAAGGAAACAGGCTTAGAAGATTATCATACAATGTTTGTTTTTAATTAAATGGTGCAAAATACCATGACTTGGGGCAACACAACTAAGAACACAAGAAATAGCAAATAGTAATGCTGCAACTGGAAAATGTGAGCTTGCAAAGGCAGGTTCATGTTCTCAGCAGCAGCTCTGCCTTGTTTTGTTGCTTGGTGGATTTAGTGGTTTCAAGCCATGGTCCCAAAATCCTCAAGAATCCCCAGGATAAGCAGAGGCAGTGCCTGGAAGGGCTTTGCTCCAGCCACAGGGTCAGAGATGCTCCATCCCCATGAGCTTGTACAGCTCACAGCTACTGTCCAGCTACAAAACAAACCCAAAATTTGCCTGCTCATGTTTTTTGGTCAGTTTTGGGAGCAGAATTAGACCAGAGGCGTATAAATAGATTTTTTTTTCTGCCTTCACAAAGTTTTGATTAAAACCAACTCTTGTATCTTCACATCAGTAACAGTCTCAGCAGGCTCTGAGGGGAAATGTCTCCACTGGGCAGAAACAAAAAGCAGAGGAAAAAGGCTCCTGGAAGACAGGTATCTTTACAAATGACAGAATATTTATTACCAATACCTTTAAAAAAAGATTACATCTGCTAGATCACTGATAAATATCATTTACACTGGGGAGAAAACTACAGAAGCTTTTTTTTTATTTCTTTTTTTTTTGTTTTGTGGATTTTTTTTTTAAGGTTTTACTTATTTTATTTTTTTTACATAGAAGTAACCATATCAAACTAAGAAAGGAACACAGCTTGAAATACTGACAATATTTCTCTGGTCAACAACCCTGACTTTTACACAAGTGGAATCCTGATTATGAGTTACTGAATAAATATATTTAGAAGGTCTAAAAGTTAACTGTATTATTTTGTAAGCAAAAGAGACAAGTTACAGGCAAATTCAAGCTATCAGGAGAAAAAAAAATACCACTGCAGCGCATTGAAAGTTGAAAATTGTATAGAAAATTCCATTGCCTTTTCCAGCGTTATCCCGTCTGAACTTACAAAATTCCCCGTAGTAACAAACAGTCCTTCTCTTGAGAAGAATTATTCCAGTGTGGATATTGTCGTTTTCTGCTGTGGCTCTGTTCTGCCTCCAGGCATCTGGGAAGGGTTTCTAAGGAAAGGCAAACTTCCAGCGGGGATCTCTGGGAGATTCCCACTTTTCCATGGATAACCCGGAGCTGGGGCAGCACCGCTCCCGCTCCGGGCCAGGTTCCCAACCGTTGTCTGGAGTTACCAAGGATGAGCAGTTGTGTCCCAAAGAACGAGCCCAGAGCAGCTTTCTGTCTCAGAGTGGCCGTGTTCTGATTTCCTCGGAATGAATCCCCAAACGTGAGGAATTTCCTTGGAATTAGATCTCCAAAGGCTGGGTGTGCACCCAACACAAGGCCGGCGGCCATCCCGTTGTGTCACCACAGATGTCACAGCTCTGCAGGATCTTCATTTCCCCACCCAATTTGATGCTAATTATCATCAAGGCAAAGCAATTTCACAGCCCCTCCTCGCTGCACAATGCTGGA